GCCTTCCATACGGATTGATGCTCAACATCAAGAAAACAAATACTCTATGTTAGATGCTGATGAGATTGAGATTAACAGCTTTAGTTTCAGTCAACACTCTTGGTACTACTATGCAGGAAATGAAGAGACAAATTGCATTGGTACAGTCTGCTGCCAGACACCTTTCCAGTGTAATGAAATCAGTGACAGCAGTCTAGAGACTAACGTGCACCTGATCCAGGCCAGAGTCTTTGCAATTGTTTACTATGCATCTGAAAGCTGTACAATGATTAGGGATGATGGAAGGAGAATTGATGCCTCTGAGCTGACGTGCTGGAGAAGACACTATACCATGGACTGCAAGAACAAACTAGTTCGTCATGGTGAGAATGAAAGCAGACCGATCCTTGGAGACAAACTTTCTGAGGTCTCCTCTGCCATACTTTGACCAAGTTTGGGGAGGGACCAGCCCTTGGAGAGGGAGATCATGCTTACGAGGGTCTAGAGACAGTGGAAGACCAGAAGACCCTCGATTAGATGGATTGATTCAGTGCCTGGGGTAATGATGGTAGATGTGTCAGAGGCAATAAGGTGTAGAGAAATACTCATTTACGTTAAGATTCTTTGTCTGCTAGTAAAGTCTGGTTTTGTAACATTAAATTGATTCTGTTCATTCACTCTTGTACGTGTATTCATCTGAGGTTATAAACCAGGGAAATGTCTGTGGGGCACTGGGATTTGCACTCCTCTAGGGCTACTGCGTTAGGAAATCATTAATTTGCTGAAGATCTTTTTCATATTGGGATACTTGCATTTACACACACAAAAGTAGAAAAAGTCTTTTTTTACTTAAGAAGACAACCAATCAGTGCAGGTTCTTTCAGAGCCAGAAGTCCTGTCATGGAGGTTGTGTGATATTATGTGTCCTGGATGATGGTATGTGTGTGTCCTGTGTGATGGTATATGTGTACTGTGTGACGTTGTGTGTATCTAGTGTGACGTGGTGTGTCCTCTGGTGGTGTACGTGTTCTGTGCAATGCTTTGCGTGTCCTGTGTGATAGTATGTGTATACTTTTTGATGTAATATATGTATTGTGTTGTAAACGTTCTATTTCCCTACCTTGAGGAATTTAAATTATGTCATAATTTCTTTCTTGTTTCTGAACAGTTTCTTAGTGTATAGTTTGTTATCGGCTGTGAATATGCTGAATCTGAAAATGGGGCCAACTTTCCTGTTTGTTCACAGGTGTATCCTTGATTACCCCGCATGTCAGATCCTTTTATAAAAGGAGGCAGTTTTTGCAAGAGTACTTGAGAAACAGTACAGAGGCGGGAAAAAGATATTTTCATTTAATGTTACTTTTTATTTCTTTTAGCACACCTTAATCTTCTTAATGTCCCAATGTTCCTTTTAGTTTTTATTTCATTGCGGTCTATTTTCTTCCCTTTCTCTCTTCACAAGCCATCCCAGCAATGGACACATTTTGCAAATACTTGTCATAGACATGAATTCTTTTGAGTGCCCATGAGTTGAGTTGAAAATTGGCACTAACTAAAAAAACAAAATGGAAATGCGGTGCTTGCTTCAGTAGCACATATACTAAAATTGGAAGGATTATGTCCCTGTCCAAGGACTGGCCCGTACTTGCAACATGGTCAGAATATGGAAGATGAGACCTCAGAAAGTGTGTGTCCAAAGATCAGTCTGGTTTCACCCTCACCATGACAAACTTGTTTGTTATCCTAGCAGTTCAGGGTATAGAGATTTCTTCCAGTCAGTTGGCTAGGGAGGTGACCCCCAGATTTCTTTCCACAACCTGATGAGCACATCCAGGGTAGGGTCTCTAAGTAGAAATTTGTCAACTGGTATGCCGATAGTTGCTGGGGTCTTGTTTTCTTGCCAGTTCTTTCAGAGCAGCTTGAACTTCTTCATCACCACAGGCTCCTGGACATACCTTGTTTCCTGAAATTCCATGTCAGCCAAATCCTTTTGTATACGCCTTCCTTTTACTGCTTCCTGAACATTTAATACGCTGCCCAAGGCATCCATGAGTATTGCAACTCGAGGCTTGAATGTCTTCTTCAATTCCTTCAGCTTAACCAATGCTGAGCAAGTTTAGCCCCTTTAATTTTCTGACTCCAACTCTTTGCATATTCCATGATACTTTGTCTTCCTGTGCTGCCCTTTGAAATCTTCTGTTCTGCTCCTCAACTTCTTCTGTTTGCTTCTCCGTGCTCAAGGCCCACATTCAGAGTTTCTTCTGGCAATCATCTTGGTCTTGTCTTCCCTCTCTGCCTTTATATTCATGCATGATATTCACAATATCTTCCCACAGCTCATCTCACCTTTCCTCATTGGAGCTCAAGGCCTCATCCCTGTTCCTGAGAGGGTTTTGAAATTCAAGTGGGATAGACTCAAGATGAGATGTTCGTTCCTGTGCTTTTGATTAAAATGTCTTATACTTGAGCCTGAACTTGCATAGGAGTCGTTGGTGGTCTCTAACACAATCAGCACCTGTCCTAGTTTTCATGGCTGATTCATAACCTGTGCCAAGCCATCCCATTTTGCTAACCCCTAATATGTCAATATTTTTCTGTTCCATTTTTATTAACACCATTCCATTTTCCAACGTTCACACACCTCACATTCCAATCACTACTGTCTGCTCACACATGCTCCTTCTTAGTGTTTTCCTACGTTAGGTCTCCCTCTGAGTTGTCATGTGGCGAGGGCGGGGAGAGGTAGTGCGAGTTAGGGTTAGGGGGAGACAGGCCTGCACCCTTGGGAACAGGTTACATGTTATTGATGGTATTGCCAGGACAACTTCCTTTTGTGAAGTTGGTAAAAGTCTGATATAGCCATTTCTAGGTGGCCCTTACGATTTTTACAGTTGAAAATCAATACTGACTGAGCCAATTAACTTTTTACAACATGTAAGCAAACTCTTGTATTGTTCACAGGGGTTTAAAAGCCCTATTGTTTGAAAAGTGAATAGGCAATGCGATTTCCTATCCTGTCATCATTTGGAAGCTCTCCGAAAATCTCGCCAACGTGGGTAATTCTTCGGCATTCATACACCAGTTGCATGACTTTCAGTATCAAAGCAAGTCAAAAGGTATCACAGTACAGCAAACTGCCAGACAAGTGCTGTACCAAGTAGATCAGATTCAAAACCCATGGTCTTTTTGACCACTTGCTGCGCATCTGAGTGAGAGATGGAGAAGGATGTGGGATCACAGAACACAGATCGTCAGATTCAACATCAAGAACCAAGACTTGAGAAAAAGATGATAAAATCCACTTCAATTACCAAGTGTGCCCTTGGAAAGTGGATAGGACCTTGGCACTGTCATATTGGACTTCACTTGATGACAATGGGTTTGCCTTTCCCTTGTGAACACATACAAGGATCTCAGAAAACAGGCTGGAGGACCTTTTCCCATAAAGAACAGCTTTAGAAACACGAGAGAACAAAAATTTGTACAACAGACTGGATAGAATATAAATTGGTCCGTAGCATCAAGATAATTGTTTACCAACTGCAGATCTTACTTCTACAAACTTTTTTTTTTGTGTATAGATGCTAGATGTCACCTTTCTCCACCCACAGCAGTCATTGCCAGGGTTATTTGTAGTCGTGTAAGGAGAGGTCACTCCCATGGGGAACCCAGGACAACTTAAAGACTTAGGATATAAATAGGGTGTTGGGGAGTCTTCAGTACAGTTAAGTCTTCCTTTGTGTAAAAGAACCAACTTCCTTTTCTGCAAGATTGCCCAAAGCTGAGAGAACAAAGCACTGCTCCCGGTAAGTTTATAGGTTTCATTTATTTGGGTGGAAATATTTATTTTACATTTGATTTAACACATTTTACACTTCCGGGATTTCACAGAAAGTTTACAAAATACCCTGGCTTCACAGACAATCACTGATAGGTTGCATGAATTATACCAATTATGTGTGTACAATAATGAAGCAAAATTCCTGCATATTGCTATTGCAAAGTTTCTGCATTTTGCTACTGCCTTAACAGGTCTTCACTGGGTGGATTCTTCGATGCTTACTGAGCTGATATGAGTGCCTAAACGATTCCTCACATTCTTGACATTTATATGGTTTCTCTCCTGTGTGAATTCTAGTATGTTTAACGAGGCCACCTGATGTTGAAAATGTTTTCCCACATTCCTTACATTCATAAGGTTTCTCTCCTGTATGAATTCTTCTATGTTGAATGAGGCTATTTGAGCAGGAGAATGCTTCCCCACATTCCTTACATTCATAAGGTTTCTCTCCTGTATGAATTCTTCTATGTTGAATGATGCTATTTGTGTAGGAAAATGTTTTCCCGCATTCCTGACATTCATAAGGTTTCTCTCCTGTGTGAATTCTTCTATGAGAAGTGAGTGTACATAATTGAGAAAATCTTTTCCCGCATTCCTGACATTCATACGGTTTCTCTCCTGTGTGAATTCTTCTATGTGTAATGAGGTTATTTGAGAA